CTGTGACATCTGGGAGTTTTTTTTTGGGGTAGATGGTGTTTATGCATTCAAGTGAATCGGCGCCGATAAGTCAGTCTATTCAAAGGTTTGGTACTGTATTGGTTAGAAGTTTACTCTGATCATACAAAGCCTACTTCTCTTCTTTCTTCCTCTAATTTTTGTTTATTCAAGACTACTTGGCTTTATTTTTCAAATATTACATATCGTGTACGAAAGTAAAGTGTACTCCTATTGCGGATCTAGTTGGAATGGGTCTTACTTGTATCGTACAGGATCTTCTATGAGTAATTGAATGTTTGGATGGTGGAATTCATAAAGCACTTGTGTATAACGAGTTCTGTGTTTTTGTCCTGTTGAAAATCCTGGTTTGAACAGACTTGTCCTTCAAGTGTAGCAGTCTTCGCTAGGCCGGTTCGATCTTATGGTTCTTGAAGGTGTGACGTGGTCCCTCCAGTATTTGCGCTTTCCGTACTCATAAGTCCTTAGGTCCTTTTTTTCCAGAGCTAGCTGTTGACGGAATTTCTCCCTAAGAGAGTATTTTCGAGCTTTTCGTTTGTGATTTTGCTTTTTTTGTAATCAAAACAGTCCATCTGCTCGTCGAAATCTTTTTGATGCGACGATCTTCTCGAGCCTGTTGAATTGTCTGTCGCGCGCACTATTTTAGCACAGAAGTCGTCCTGAGATCGCAGCCGACATGTCTGCGACCGGCCGTCGGCAGTCTTTTGTTTTTGGTGATTACCTTCTTGTCTGAAGCTAGTAAACTCTCACTTTACAACTACGTTTTATTGCTTGTCATTGGCGGCGTTAGCGATGAATTGGAAGTGCGTTCCAGGGAAAGTTAAGGTGAGGGGAAGGGCTGTTCGGTTTGTCATCAGTTTATGAGCATTCATCTTTAACGTTTTGCTCTTGTTGTCGATTGTTCTCCTTCATGATTAGCTCCTATCGTTGTTGATTTAATGATGTTAAAGTCCAGTGTGATAGCCTGCGTGTTGATTGGCACGGCCACTTGCCAGTATCGAGTTTGCCGAAGCAGCATTTTCGGTCCAAATGAGATAATTAGCAGTGGTAAATCAACAACTACCGTAGCTCTTAGACATATCAATCGTTTCCGAAGAAACTGCTCATTCGTTGTTGTCGAAAGACTTCTTCGAGAACAATGGAAAGAGTAGTTTCTTCGGAAATAGCGCGCGTTTTTCAGCGCTAGTATTCATTTGAGTCAGCGTTTTCCGCCGCCGTGCCGTATATGTTTTGTTTCCCAGTACGGTCTTTTTGTGAATCATATACTTTACAGCCCTTGATGGTTTTTCCCTGCATGGGAGCCTTTGTTTTCTCTTCATTTTGGGCAATAGTGGCGAGTGAGGGGACGCGGGGAAGGCGGGGGGAGGGGAAGGGGATAGGTTTCGTACAGGGGTTTTCTGTTAAGAATAAAAGCGTGTATTGGTTTTGTAGGGAGTAGATTAGAATATCCGAAAGCATACAGAGGAAAGTTAAAAGCCATTAGCTATGAGGATGCCTCCGGATGGAACCAGTCGGGTAGAACGCTAGCTGGAGACGGGTCTTCTCTACTTTTTATCTCTCTCACGCAACCCTCATGTCAGCTTCGCTTTGCCGCTTATGCCTGTTTCGTTTTTGTAAAACCACATTCTGCAACTTTCATCCTGTCTCAAGGGCGATCACCTTCCTTTTTCGCCGTTCACTTCCGTAATGTGCCCTAATTTTTTAAGTACCCCATCATGGAAATCTTGTCTTAACGAGCATCAGCATGAGATATGACTTCTGTTTGCCCTTCTCAGTGAATTCCTTTGACCGCTTTATTTGTTGCGACATTAGCAGAGTTTGATTTCATACTCCGCGAACGGGCAGTCGGCGTCCACTGCTCACTACATGCATCAGGGGGCCAGGGCTTGAATCGGATGGTTACAGATGAGATGGTATACGTCTAGGTTGGAGGGAAGAGGGGATCACGATGAAAGGTGGCGCCGTTGTGGAAGCCATTAACGACGGCAACCTTCGGAAGCAAGGGTTACGCTTTCAATGAGCATAATCTGTTTTATTTGAGCAGTTGGTAGCAATTTGTCGAGTGTAGAAGCTTAAAAGGTGCAAATCGCGTTGAGGAAACGCCGTTGCAGTAGGTGCCCTCCCTTCAAAAGCCTCTTCTTCCCTCAGAATGGGGCCGTTCTAGGGGCGTTTCAGTTCTTCTCCTCATATCAGGCCATTCAAAATTAAACACTCTTCATTCGCTCGAAGCAAGCCTAGGACTAGGCCTAGGCTTGAGCATAAGCCAATGTGTAAGCATAAGCCTTAAGCCCAAGCCTAAACCCAAACTTAATCTTAAGCTTCAATGATCGCGCAGCTCTGGTGACCTGACCTAGGAGGAGATTTTGACTCACCCCCCCCCCCACTACGCGTCTATTTCCAGCCTGCTTAATTTCTGGCCTCTCACCGATCATTTA